CTCTCCCCCAACTAACATTCAGCCCTCTATCGATTTCATCTAGCCCTTTGTCTGGCGTGTCAGAGGTGTAGGGCCGCCTCCTCCAAGGGGACATGACCGGGGCCTTCTGGGCCCCTTCTCAAGACCTGTGATTCATGTCTTACGGAAAATATTGAGAAATATTCCATTTGAAATGAATTCTGCTTTCACAGCATATTGTATGTTTCCGGTGTTTTTCTTCATTATCACTATGAGCATTCCCGTGAAAACAGAATCTTTGCTTCCCCCCACCCCACCCCCCCAGCATAACCATGGCCATCGTCTACTTTAATTTTCCATTCCTAAGGGGTCTGTTTAATGACATCACAATGGGCTTCTGGGGTCTTTCTGGCAATGGCATGGGTGCCCCTCAAGAGAAAACAAAACCCCCCCTGAGGCTAACAAAATCAGCTACCAGCCAAGGGGGGTGACCTCACATGGCACTGTTTCAAGTTTCCAGGAAGGCCCTGCACCAAGCTCCACCGACACCTCCTAGCCCTCCCGCCCCAGCCGGCTGGGGAGTCCTGAAACAGCACAGTTATTAGCCTGACAGTTTCGACCAGAGTGAACCCTGTCCATGTGACTTCAGCATTTCCAAAATGTCACCACCAACCCCCCCACCCCCACCCATACCAAAGCAAATTCACTGCCATCGAGTGGATTCCACTCATGGTATCCCTACACCCATAGAAACGCCTCCCTGCCAGGGATCTGGTATTGAAAGGGCATGACGAGAGCTGGTTTCTCTCAACTGTAAGCTCAACAGTAAAATGCAAAGGGCACTTTCAGAAGTTTCCATTACGATGATTCAGTTTCAGATCCTTCCCTACTAAAAGGGCATAGAGGTCGGGGATGGGGGGTGAAGAAGATGTTAACACTGCCTCCCACTGTACTGCTCCTCTCTTACCATCCTCTCCCGCCAGTGGCAACTAGAAGCGCCCCCTAGAAACTCAGCTGCCTCAACCCTAAAGCCCAACCCAGACTTGAGGCAGGAGTCACTTATGCAGCCCACACGCATGCTCGTGCATCATATGGTCTGCTGGGCCGCTCTAAACCAGCACATTGTAGTTCTCAAAACAAGGGGTGCCTGTCTTCGTAGTCCCCAGGTCCCAGTCTCCAGGGTCCACTCTTGCTCTGTAAAGCATCTGTGTCTTGTTCCTACCCTGGTATCCTGCCCGGAATCCTGTCCCTCCAGGAATGGAAACACACCTTGCTTTGGTTGAATGCCCAAGAATGAAATCCTGCTATTTAAGTTCATGCTTCCTTAATGTAAAGCCACAGGGCTGGGCAATCAAGAACTGAGCTCTGGAGGCAGGCACACCAGACAGACCGGGCAAACCAGGTTCTATCCACCTTCTAGCTATGTGATTTGAGGTGCACAATTAATCTCCTTGTGACTCATCTTCCTCATTTTTACCTACCGTACCCATTACAGTACCACGTAGGAGCTGACTAGATGTTAGCATTCATGGTATTAGTCATGGGGAGAACAAAGTTGATCACACTTGGTGCTGAGAAGGATAAATAGATGGTTTAGTCCCACATTCTACTGTGCTATGCTCCACTGCTGGAGTGAGACACCACCATGAACTCGTATCAGAGCCTAAGGGATGGCCCGGCACACATACGTCAGTGGCTGTCACAGGTGGCCACTGGTCTCCTTGAGCAAACTGCTTTGGCTCCAGGTCCTCATTCTCTCCTGTCCTAGTTTCATCAAATGGGCCAGGTACCAACCACCACACCACCAAGAAAAATAACTGTAGTTGGGTGTTCGGAAGAGATCAAAGCAGGCCAAGGGAAGCCAAAGATAAATGGCAGTGTGGGTTTGCTTTAGTAAAAGGCATTCTATTCTTTTAATACACTGGAAGGGGTGTTACCATCACATATCTCCAAGAATCATCATTCATGAATACAAAGCTCTCATTATGAGCAGAGCAATATGCTTGAATACTTCCTGCGGGGTGCACCGGTTACCGACATGGACTCAGAAGACAAGTTGGGGAGAGGCTACCAAGACAAACACACAGATACTCCTTAGAGGCCGGAAAGGAAAAGCCAGGTGCTGTGGAAAGGCGGATTTTATCTATGTTGATCTATTCAGCAATTTGCTTTTATGACTTATCCTACACATACTCCTGGTCTGGCTTGGGAGACCTGCAGACAGAAGGTTCCTTGGAGGCAACGCGAGACTTGTGTCATGTACTTTGGAGATGTTATCAGGAGAGACCGGTCCCTGGAGAAGGACACCATGCTTGCAAAAGTAAAGGAACAAGGAAAAGAGGAAAGGCCTTCGAGGACGTGGGCTGACCCAGTGGCTGCAACAATGGGCTCAAACAATACGAACAATCAGGTGCCCGACCAGGCGTCTCACTCTGCTGTACATGGTGTCCCGATGAGTCAGAAGTGACTCAACAACAACCACAACAACAACAGCAGCAGCAGCAGCACGTACCCAGTGGCTGAAGGGCATGACCTACCAGCCAATTCATGGGGCTCCCATGGTAGGCCCAGAGGCTCAACTGCTTTCTTAGGCAACTAAAACCCTTAGCTTCCACCTATTACTCATCAAGTGGCTTTTCGTGTATCATTTTTCTTTTTTTTTAATCCGTGAATTTTTTAAGTTCAGACTGCAACCATAGAGAAATCAGTTGATTTTACAGAATTCTTTGATTGTCCATTAAGCGGAGGTTTACATTTCAGATCAACTCGCATTCACTGGTCCAAACCCCCATCAAACCTCCAGTCGTCCCTTCCCTGCTCAATCCGCTCTTCCTTCACTTTTATTGTGAACGGCTGAGGGTTTACAGAGCAGGGAGAGCACATGTACGTCCAACAATCCACACACATTTTGTTACTGCATTCACTGCACCTCCCTCAATGTCCCCTCCTTTTCTGATGTGTGACAGTTTTTAGGATACAAATTCGATTTTAAGGTTTTGTTTCTAATATCCTACTAGTACTGCTAGTAGGTGGGAAATTTTGTGTGCCATACCATTTATATTCCATACTAAAAAATAAAAAAATTCCAATCAAAATAACTACCAAAAAGTCAGCTTTATAGCCTAAAGTTTCTTCGTCTTCTTAATCAGCAAAACCTAGATTTTGTTTTTAAATGACGTAGAACCCCAAGAATAATTTACCAGGACAGGGCAAGGGATCACAGAAATCGAATTAACAACAACAAAAAGGCATTCATGGTCGCGATTGCACGTTTCTTGATACTGAATTGTACGGTGTCTGAATTATGTCCTAATAAAATGGCTTTTTAAGAAAGCATTCACGAGTGATTAAATCATTTCACATTAAGTATAACTGACAGTTCATTAGTTTTGATTATATGAAAACAAACTCATTTCTCAAAATTAATTTCCCCAAATTTTGTTCCTATAGGAAGGAAGGGAAGGAGGGAAAGAGGAAGGAAGGGAGGGAGGAGGATTAAACTAACTCGGAATGTTCTGCCACTTTTTAAGGCCTCTAATCAGATTCCCAGTGATCTCGATATATCAATTTACCCATTTGCTCCCCAATCACTGCCAAAGCAAGCTGTCGCCAACAGTGCTTCCAACACAGCACTATTGACAGGCTCACCCCAGAACCGGATGGAACCTGCTAAAGTTCCAGGTGGATTAGGGGAGCCCTCAGTAACGTCCTAACAGAACGATCTATGAAGGAGACGCTGGCATGACAAAGACCGGAAATTAGTTGAAACGCCCCAGAGCTGGAGGAAGAACTACATTGGACAAGTCTCACCTACTTTTAAAACCTATTTAGGTAACAAGATTCTGAACTTTCAGCTGGCGCGGTCATGAGACTTTGTGGGTGGAGCACGGGAGGTGGTACTCCACATGTAAAAGGGACATGGATCATCAAAGGCCATAAAGGGTGACACAATAGGCTATTTTGTAAACTAAAACAGAAACAAAAAACTCAAATTCCTAGCACCCAGATGAGGGCAGGGTCGAACCTAAGAGTGAGGGTTGCTGAGACTGTCGCTCTTTCCCAGGTAGAAAGCCTCACCTTCTTCTTGTGCAGGGCCTGGTGCTTTAAAACTAGCTGACCTTGTCGTGACCAACCCAATGTGTAACCACTACGCCGCCGAGGCTCCTAGGCAGCTAGCTTTCTAGGATGGCCTCAAATGATCTCTGCCTCCTGGTGCTCACACCTGGAGAAGCCCCTGGATAACAACCGGTCCCTCTTCCCCTCTACTTTTTCCCTCCTTTTTTCTTTTAATTTTTTCATTTGTTTTACGTTTTCACTCGAAGGAAGCCAGGCAGCGTGCTGCAGACTGCCCTGTGAAAAAGCCCGCGTGGCAAGAACTGCAGAGGCCTAGAGAAAATTACATTCCAACAACCGCTTGATTGATTTCCCACACCGGTCAAGATTTAAAGCACCTGCAGCCCTGGTTCACACCTGGATGGTGGCCTCCCAGGAGCTCCCGGGCAAGTGAAGTCCCACCAGAATTCCTGACATGCGGAAACTGTGAGATAATAAATGTGGTCTAAAGTCGCTACGTTTTGGAGTGATTTGTTACTCAGCAATAAACAGCTAATAAATACTAGCTCTGAGTTTACTACTGAGAGCATCCTTTGGACAGTCTTACAACATACAATGGGATAAATATATCTGAAAAATCACTAGCTGTTTTCAATTGGAATTGTAAGTTTTTTTTAAAAACCAGCTTTCATCATTATTAATACCTCTACATTTTCCAGCCTTATCAAATGCTATAATGCATTCTATAACTATAAAGCTTTTCCGAGTGAAATTAGTTCGCTTAAAATCCAATGGCCTACTATTTGACTAGTATTTAACTATGTCCCTTGGGTCAACATTCAGCTAGAATCCCCATCAAAAAAACCCCAAAAACCCAAGATATACTTAACGTCTGGAAAATCATATACAGACACAGAAAAAGCCATTTCCTAAAAATAACAAATCAGGGAAGCTCTTTGGGTTAAAAGTTTTACGAAACGTTTCCTTACCTTGGATGCACTGAAGTGTTCCATCCTCCGCTCTAATTGTGAAAGTCTCACCTGGATTAACTTGGACGAGAATAACCTGCCAAAAGAACACAGTGATTTAAATTAGTGTTTGAGCGTCTGGGAATTTTCTTCAACATGAGGGTTTGTTACCTAAATGTACATACTAGACATAAAGTATGCAGCATGAAAGCCTGGATAAATACAAAACTCAGGATAGAAGCCTTTAGATACCGTTCAAATTCGAGGCCCAGAAAAAAAGCCAGTCATTTTCAAGTGAATTCTCCTTTGTTTCTTAGGACATGCCAGAACTAACATGTGAAAAATTAAACTCTTCCGTGAAAAGGACAACATCTTTTTCGCTTTCACCCATTTGGAAACCACAGTTAAGTTAAAAGACCAGAAACTATAAAGGAAAATTGCACCAAGCAATGAAGTTTTGATGCAACACTTCTGAATGGTGTTCCCACGTGTGCATTACTGAACTGGGTTACATGAGTCTATTGTGCAACAATACAGAGCAAAATATGTGGAGGAAGTATCTGATTATAAAACTAAAAAGCCACTGCCATCAAATAAATTCTGACACACAGCAACCTTAGTGTTTCTGAGGCTGAAAATATTTACAGACAGGTACGAACAATTGCTCCCTTAGAGAAGCTGGGGGTGGGGGTGGGGGTTGAACCGCTGACCTTGCAAGTTCAAAGTCCAATGCTTAGCTAACAGCACCATGAGGGCTCTGTCTCTGCCCACCACTGACCTGCTTAAGGCGGTATCTGAGCGTAAGAAGCAGCATCTGAGTCTAAGAAACAAACTCGCTGTCATTGAGTCGATTCTGACTCACAGCAACCCGACAAGACAGGGGAGAACTAACCTCGGGATTAGAAAGCCTCGTCTTTCTCACACAGGGTGACGGGTGGTTTCAAACTACTGATTTTGCAGTTAGCAGTCCAACGTGTGACATCAGGGCAGAGTTCAATAAAATAAATTAATACAACAAGTTGGCCCCACCATCGCTCAATGTTCAAGTCTATGGCCTAAATGCCAGGGTTTCGTCTCCTCAATTAGTCCACAGGACGTATTCAATATTAGAAGGCAACTTCCCCCTGACTGGACAGTGAGTGGCAATGACAATCGTCTAAGTAGTTTCTTTCAACGGGTCTCATAACTTTAGTTCTAATCATAGGATTACAAAAGGAAAAAATGCTCATTTATATGTAGAGACAAATAAAGGACACAATCCAAGCTTGAAAACAGTAGCTACTAACAAATCACCTGGCTGACGCCTTTAACTGACAGAGGTCGGTGCCACACATGTCACATGCCTTGCCCAGGTCCTCCCCTACCTTGGCACCATCAACTGACTGTCCCCCCACCAAACAACAATAACAACAACACACACACAAGATAGACAGTCCACCTCTGCTCATCACAGACTGACCTGCTACGTCTAATCATTGTTCGCAGCTTATCAAGTGGTATTTGAGCTTCCTGACAAATCAGATCCACCATTATATCTTCTCAAACAACAAAACGACCTCTTTTCTAGAATAAATCATTGCAGCTAAGCACGTACTTTATTGTGTGTCTTTCTCTATAATATAGCCGCTATATGGAAGAGCTCAGCGCTTAGCACAGCACCTGAATCAAAACCATTTCATCTTTAAGAAGCAAACGTTTACTATCCATGTCTTTTGCTTCTTCTAAGAAACATGGCTGGAGTATTAAGAACTTTTAAATCTAAAAAGTACACTAACTGGGGAGGAGGGGCCCCCAAAATAATTCAAAGGAAACGAAGTCCAAGTTTCACCTCATTATTCATTCATTTTTAAAATATTTTTGTCTTAACTTACTCATTCCAATATATCCCTTCCCTTCCCATACAGTTCTGTAGTTCTATCCCATCGGGGGTGGCTACACAATCATCAATGCTATCAACTCCCCTCACCCATCACCTCACTTCCCATACCCTTCAGGAACCCTCCTGTCAGTGCCTCTGAGCGGGCCTCCTTCTAGACTACCATGTACCACCAAGTGATCTTCAATGAACAAATGAACATAAGCAAATCTAACATGACCAATGAGGTATCACGCATGGAGAGGAAACCTTAAAGAACTAGAAGAGAGTTATGTGGGTCGTCAGTGCCACACCACACCTGGATTTATCCTCCATTCCCTGAGGCCCTGCTAAGAGGGACTGTCCAAGTGTCTTTCTGCTGGACTTTGGGTCTCGACCACATCCAGTCCCCTTCATAGCAATTTGGATGCATGTTTTCTGAACCTGCTCCCATCAACACCCCATGATCACACAGCCTGTGTGCTTCTTCCATGTGGGCTTTGTTGCTTCCCTGCTAGATGGCTGCTTGTGTAACTCCACGCCTTTAAGACCCCTCGTTATTTTATATATTAACTATCTCTAGGCAATTTATCCTGTGCAACTATAGCAATCATCTTTCATCTTTCAGTATGCAAATACTCACCAATAAATACAGTGTCATTTTAAGAGCCTTCAGACCTTAAGACATTAGATTATGTCCGTAAACTGAGTTCAACTGATGTTTTTTACCATAAAAATCATTTTGAGCGAGCTAACTTTATTTTTATAGAAATATGGAACATCATGGGATTATGATGGAATGAAGCAACACTTCATCGAAGGAGATTATTGATGTCCTTGTGAAATAAAATGTCTTTGGGCCAAGTCTAACATCACTGTAGTGAGCAGACACCATCTGCTTTTCATTTAAACCTCTAAGGATAGGCCTATAGTCCACGGACGGCTGTGGAATTAATTAATTGAGGAGCAAAAAAGAAACAAAAAAATCAATGGACACAAGGACTCTCATGTCCCCGATTTTCCTTGACGATCCTAAATTCATATACTACTCTCTTCCACCACATTCATGATTGTCAGACAATGTGCCCTGATCATTTTCTTTTGAAATTAAAACCCACTATTATTCTGGAAAATTCCAGGCAAGGAAAGGGCTTTCTGAATCCGTTTATGGTCCAGATTCCATTATCTGATTATTAGATTGCAAGGAAGCTGTCTGCCACCATTCCTTAGTGGTTCCTTAGTTCAAAGACCGGCCTGGAACGTCCACCCTCCAAAATCCACTTAGCATTTTCCCCACGCCCTCTTACAGGGGCCACCTCCTGACCCACAGCCTCCTTCTTCGGGAACAGATATGAGGGGTTTTAAGTATCCCACAAATACCTCTCTTCAGTTTCATTCCCGTAATTTTCACTGCTGCTGAGTTGTCATGGCAACCAGATGACAATCTACCGGGTTACCTCAGGAACCAGGCAAATCTCCTGTGTCCCAGTATCAATTTTTCTTAGTGAGAGTCAAAGTCATTATTTGAACAAACTGTGTTCACCTTGGCATTGAGACGTCTTAAAGGAAAGCATTTTATCATTTGCTGCTTTCCCTGTCAACAGAGATGAAAACAGAGTTCTGACGGACAGCAGGCCGATGATCAGTCCCTGACAACAGACAGGCATGAAACGGCAGCACCAGGCCTCATGGTGACGTCCAACAGGCAGCCTTGAGTAGCCAGAGTCACACCCTGGCCTGCTGGGTAGAGCTTAACCTTTTTTATTATTATTACAGAAGTCAGTCAGTCAGTCAGTCATTCGGTCAGTCACTCCCTTCCTTCTCTGCAGCCACAAAACACGCATCTGTTACAAATGCTCTTACATACAGAACGTAGGATCTCTCTGTCCAGACCACCTGCTTTGTTCATTCGCGACACACTTCCTGCTTTTCCACAGTTGGCACTAAACTGGTGAGTCCTGCCCTCCTCTCGACGCAGAAGGGGGGAAAAAACAATAAATGTTTTTCCTCCAAAATGTTGAAATCGAGCCATGTGAAGTCAAACGTCAAGCTACTATTGCTTCATCAGATCTGTTTCAAATCTTCGTGGTACCAGAACCAAGAAGCTTGAAATAAACAGCCAATGCATCCAAAGCTTCATGAAAAATAAAGAGCCCCTCTTCCAAAGTCCAAAGAAACAATAAGACAAGGGTTAGAATTTACACGATTGAACAAAAGGGTAAACACAGCACCCTGGGAATGTTCAAGTCCTTGGAGAACGGAAGGACGTGTTAACAAAACGCTCTTTACAGGCACAGATTGAAAACTAACTCAGGGTTTAGCTCACTGAAAAAAAAAAAAACCCTCACACTTAGTGCCATTGAGAGGATTTCAATTCCTAGGGGACCCGTAGTATCGGGTAGAACGGCCTGAGGCTGGAACTCTGTGGGAGTAGAAAGTGGGTAGCCTTGTCTTGAACCTCGGACCTTGTGGTTAGCTATGCAACCTAGGACACCACCGGGCTTCGTGGAAGAGGAAAATGAACGCTACTTTTGCCACTTAAATCCTGAGTGGATGATTCAACTAGAAGACCCGCAATATCTGGGAAGCAAATTCCTAATGTATTTGCCTCAAAGCTACCACC